TGAATTCACCTTCGCCTGATCCTGTGAAATGCCCTCAGCTTTGATCATACTCTGCCTGCTGTCATGTATACAAACTGACATAAAACAGGGCCTGCATCTGAACCTTAAGGGGCTCTTTACAGGGGTCATCGTTTATATAGAGAGGACACTTCTACAAAGAGGCGGAATCAGAGCTGGACCCAGTGATCTGTTGTTGGATGCGCCCCCATACTTACCATCCTGAGCCAGCAGGGTGGCTCGATCCATCAGCAGCTCCAGAGCACACCAGACCTCAGCTCTGTCCGGACCCACCAGCAACAAGGCCTGAAGGATGGACAGCAGCTGCACGGAGGATGGATGGCTGGACACCTGAACGCAGAGAGGGTCAGGACAGGTTATTTTGGCTACGTTCACATTGCAGGTGTTAATGCTCAATTCCAAATTTTTGACCAAATCCAATTTTTTTGTCTGCTTGTTCACACTACAAATAAAATGCGACAGCAAACACGCTCTAGTGTGAACCCTCGAAGCGGCCCGCATGCGCAAAAGAAGACGTCACACACAATGCGCTCTGTTTAGACCCAGAGCAAATAATATTGTTTGACTGATGGCCCTTAATATAAAGACTTCGAACTTTACGTTTCCCAATTTTTGCTTTAAGTTATTTTGTTATTTACATAATAATGTAGATAACCTAATGATTATCCTTATTGCTGTTTTAGAGAGGAGCGGTGCTTCAAAGAATAGTTGCAGATTTCTGTCAAAATCTGCAGATTATACAGTACAAATAAAATGTTCACGTTGTCTTTCCAACAGTTTCACTAACATCTACACTGGATGGCCAGGAAGCGTTCGCGATGTCATCTCCGGCGCTAATAATTGGCGTCTGTGTCAGTGACGTACAAGACGGATTTAATGCGACGTGACCATCAAACAGCAGTCGCATTCTAAAACATCGGATATGTATTGGATTCAGTACCACATACGAAAGTGACCCAGATCAGATTTGAAAATATCGGATTTGTTCCGTTCACACTGTCATACCATGGTCGGATAGATGGGTCGCATAGGGTCCAAAAAAAAAAAAACAGATTTGATGCGCTTTCGACTGCAGTGTGAACATAGCGTCTGTCTCCTTACATTTCTATCATTGAAAAGAGAACTACCAGCAGTGTCACTTTCACAGATGCTGCGCCAATCGCTCTGAAGGTGGCAGTGTTGGGTTCTGTAGTTTAAACCAGTGTTTCCCAATCTTTTGGAGCCACGGTACATATTTCACGTTAGAAAAATAACACAACATACTACCAAACAAAAATGTTTACAAAAAGCATATTGATAATTTTTCCCCGCGCACCATGTATAGCAGAATTGGTTCAGTTTGTTTAGATGTATCTGTCCCACTGCGCAAGTGTCCAGTGAAGGGGGCATGGCTACGCGCAGGCGGGAAGGGGAAGTAGGAGTTTCTTGGAGTGTCAGTTTTTTCTTGTGTGGAGGAACGAAAGAAGGCAACCATTCAAGTTGGAGTTAACATACCAGTTGTGTGATTATTGGACTAACAAGTTTGTCCCCAATCTACCCTTTTTTTGCTTTCTTCTGACCACTACTAATGCTAGGGCCTTCGTCTGGGTCGGAATTTTCTCAAGGACCCAGGTCAGACTCACTATTTTTCTTTTCAAATATTTATTTATTGCTATTACGTGCTGCGTCGTCTCACTCACAGCATGACTATTATATAATTTCTTCTTCATGTTCTTCTGTTTTACTGGCAGTCGGCAACCAATTTAATTAGAGCAGGTAGTTGTACTTCCCTCTAGTGGACGATAATGTAATTGTTCTGCCCATTACTCAAGCCGATCGCTTAGAGCAGCGGTCCCCAACCTTTTTTGCGCCACGGACCGGTTTATGCCCGACAATATTTTCACGGACCGGCCTTTAAGGTGTCGCGGATAAATACAACAAAATAAAACTAGTACCGGTACCGAAAAAAAAGAGGATTTATTCATAACACATGGGAAAAGACCCAGGAAAACCGAGTTAACGATAACAAAATTACGCTGAAAACCGATAAAAACCCTGAAAACCATACATTTCACACCTGAGCCTCTACTCTCGCGGCCCGGTACCAAACGACTCACGGACCGGTACAAGGCCCGGGGGTTGGGGACCGCTGGCTTAGAGTACCAATTGGGTGGAATAAGATAATCTTCCACGGCACACCTTTGTGCCGCGGCACAGTGGTTGGGAAACATTGGTTTAAACGTTCCAGCTTGAGTCGCATCACTCTTTAAACTGTGGTTACCATGGTGTAGAGCATTGTGAAGACCTGCTGGTGGCTGCTCATATCAATCCCTCCATACAGCCTCTCCATCTCCTCCATGTCCTCCGACAGAGAGTCTTCAAACACGTCACACTGGATGTTCAGGTCCTTGTCCTGCGTCTCCCTGCACACACAGACAGGAAACTGATTGGAAACACGATTGATTATTGATTAATAACTGATGTAAGCAAAGTGAGATTGAAGCCAGTACCTGAGCCTGGGGAGCAGGTCCAGCAGCTGCAGACCTAAAAATCACAGACACATATATCACTTCTTATTTTGGTCAAGCAGCAGGACACACTCACACCATGACGACCTCTGAGGGTCTGACACTCGAGCCCTCAGCGAGACCTGACTCAAGGAAAGCCTCCGTACAGGGATGTGATGTCACACTGTGACAGATATCAAGCTCCTCCTACACATAACTCTGATAACAGTTTAATTCAACTTTATTTATACATCGCCAAATCACAACAACAGTCACATCAAGGTCTTTCTGTTGTGAGGTAAAGACCCTACAACATGAT